TCAAAGGCTAGAATATAAGCCAATGTTTTATTCACATGGGTTATGACAACAAAGTAACTGTACCTTCACTTTTTCATTTTAGTATGAAAAATGTGAAGAAAGACAGGGAAATGTTAATACTGAATAGCAATCAATTACACACAAAATTTTTTAAATTTTAGTTTCTATTTTCAATCAACAAAATTAGAAAAAATTATAAAAAGCAGTAACCTCAAAACTGAAGATGCTGCAATGAAATGGTTATATACTTTGCTACATAACTCTTTGCAAAGCAAAGCAAAATCCATACAATTTTTCATATAATTTGACCTGTGGATCCTATTCCTGGGGATTTGTTCTAAAGAAATAATTCAAAAGATGCGAAAAGCTACCTAAATGAAGATTTTAGCATTGACTTCCATAGCAAAAGCTGGAAACATGTAGATATTCCATAAAAGGAAAATAGTTTAATAAATTATGGAACATCAACATGTTGAAATATTACTCAGTCTTAAAATAATTATGAAGACTGTAGAAACTTGGAAAAAGAATATAAACCTGTGTTTGCTAGGATTATAAATGTTAAAAATATGCATGTGTGTCTATTGGCTAGAAAGTCATGTGCAACATAAATTTAGTCATTAAGACCGAGATAATATATTCCAAGATATTAACAATGGTTATCTCTGATCAAAAGGATTATGGAAGATTTCTGTTTTCCTGTTTCTTCTTCTCTGTATTTTCTAAGTTTTCCATTAAAAAAACATGTGTTTTGTTTTAGGGGCGGAGTGTAATTGATTCTGTAAGAATGAGCCTTTCCGGCTTAGAAAAATAATGTATGATGATGACGATGCATATTATGGGTTAGCATTTATTTTAATACTATTTTTAAAATAAAATTATTTTTTAAGTAAATAGGTTTTACACCCCGAGGCTGACCACTTCTCTTGACACCGGTGGCTACCACCTGGTCCCCATCTCTTACTTGGATTATGCTAATAGCTTCTACTTGGTCTTCCAGCCAGAGAGCTGATTTGAACACATCCTGTCTGCCAGGCACAGCTCCACTGCCCAGCACCCTATGGTGGCTCCCTTGTGACCCGGAGTGACAGTGTCTGCCTCCCGCCCCCGGCTCCTCCTCTTCCTGGCTCCTGCCCTTCCTCTAACAGGCTAGACTGGGTCGTCCCTAGGATCTTCGTGCCCCCTCCACCAGGAACACTCTTCCCCCCACACGGGCACACGCTGACTCCCTCATGTCATTCAGATTTTCCACTCAGATGTCCCCCGATCCCCATGTCAGATCCCATCCCTTCGGCCCCCTGCCCCGATGCACTCAGATCCTCCAGCCCACTTTGCTTTTCTCTCTTGCATGACGTGTGTCCCCCTCTGCAGTTCTGTATTCCTTATTCCGTGTCTTGCTTGTTTCTCTCTCCCCCCCATTAGAAGGTAACCTCTAAAAGGGCGGGGAGTTTTGGCCCGTTCTATTCACTGATGAGCCTAATATGTGCCTGGCATCTAGGTGCTTAATATGCATTTGTTGAATGAATTTGTTACAGATGATTGGAATGAGATGAGGACCTGCTGGGACCGCCATTAAGAAGGAAGAGAGCAAGCTGAGGCCAGCCTGGGCTGGGGAAGCTCTCTGTACAGTGGCTGAGAGTCCAGATCTGGAGTCTTCAGGATGTGATACCCTTCAGTCTGATGTGGGTTGACATCCCTAGTTCCCCAGGGTTGGATGCTGGGCTGGGGTGGGGGCCGCAGTTTCCGGACCATGCTTCCCAGCTGGGAGGGGTAGAGTTGCGTTCGTTCTGCCAGGGTTTGTCTGCAGGTGGCTGGTCATTCTTGTCGCCAGTGGGCCAGCTAGCAGACCCAGGTTATGTGTTGGAGGCGCTCACCAACCAGAGTGGACCTGTGGGGCCCACATCTCCCATCAGAGAGGACAAATGTAGGAGAGATCAGATGCAATTCTCAGCTGGTTGCAAAAAAAGGACCAAAGCCACCCCTCCCTGCACAGATCCCCTCATTGTAAACAAGAGGTGGGCATGGAACTTAGGAAACTAGGAGCTTTATTAATTAGGCCCCTAGACAGTGGTTTTGTTTGCCCTCCCAAGGGGAAATGCCAACCCCCAAACCAGCTGCTGGACTGGAATAAATGGAATGAAGGACAGAAAGAGAGGGAGGGACGAAGGAGGGGAGACAGAGATAACGGGTTGTTTCACTGGAACAATGATTGCTTCTTATGTAACCTTAGTCGGTAATCATATCCCTAGAGTTAGATGAGAATTAGTTTTAACTTAAACCTAAACATGAAGTGAAACAGTAACCTTTTTGGTTTTATCTCTTCTGGGTTTTTTTTGTTGTTTTTTTTTTTGAGACAGAGTCTGGCTTTGTTGCCCAGGCTAGAGTGAGTGCAGTGGCATCAGCCTAGCTCACAGCAACCTCAAACTCCTAGGTTCAAGCAATCCTGCTGCCTCAGCCTCCCGAGTAGCTGGGACTACAGGCATGCGCCACCATGCTCGGCGGATTTTTTTCTATATATATTAGTTGGCCAATTAATTTATTTCTATTTATAGTAGAGACAGGGGTCTCGCTCTTGCTCAGGCTGGTTTCGAACTCCTGACCTTGAGCAATCCACCTGCCTCCGCCTCCCAGAGTGCTAGGATTACAGGTGTGAGCCACCGCGCCCGGCCGTGGTTTTATCTCTTCTTAATTAAAGCAATTAATAGCTTTGAATTTTCTCTGCACACTTTGTCCAAAAACATTCATGCATTTCCTTCATGTGAACGCGGCTGCTGATCAGTGTCCTTCCCCTGCCTGCGTGCTTTGTTGCTGTCATGTCGTTTGCTTGTTTATTTTTGCAGAAACAGCCCACATTGGCGATACTGGTTAAGCTAAATCTACTTGGGTAAATGCCAACTTGTCAAACTACCCTCCTTTTTTTTCCCCTCAAGAAAATGTACTATATATCCAGAATCAGACCACCACTCATGATGTCTCTGGCCCCAGCCACCACCACCTCTCACCTGGGTGATCTGTCCCTAGGTGAGAGGTGTTACTGTCACACCTCCAGTGGTTGGCCTTCCATCTCCACCTGGCCCCTAAGTCCACTCTCAACACAGCAGCCAGAGTGCTCTCCCGAGCAGGGCAGTCTGAATGAGGCTTGCTTAATTTTATCCATTGGCACTTGTCACATCAGTCATTCAGCCTCTTGGGGTAGGATTTAAGTGCGTCCAAAAATACCTCCCGAGATACGCTCTTCCGCGTTGGCTGTTCGGGAGTGCTACTGCTCCTAAACTGTCTGAATGTGAAGGAACGCAGATGAACATCAGAAAGGGCTGGTAGCAACTTCCCTAATCAGGAAAGGAAAATGGCACGTCACCAGTGTAGACAAAAAATAAAACACCCAATTTTATTTTTATCATGTGAGTTGCTGTCTTGTGTGTAAGTTACTTTTGGTAACTGAGTCACCAAGAGTCTGCTGTCCTTTGATTGCCAACTCCTCCGCAGTGGTCTCTGACTGCCTGCTTATATGGTGGGTTTCGTTGGTTCTGCTTTCAGGGTGAGAGTGAATGGGCTTGTGAACTTGGAACTTTATTATGGTGTGTTGCCGCGTGGGCTAATGAAACATGTTCCTGCTGGATCTCTGAATGACTTTTAACTGATGCAAAAACAAAATAATACAGTTTTCTTTGTGATTCTGTTTAAAGGGTAGATAAGCAGACCTCTTGCCATACAAAAGGCTAACCAAAAATATGCCCCAACTACAGGAAACCAAGGATGCTTTTATCTCAACTTATTAAGAGGACCTTAATAAAAAATTGTGTAAAAAGAAACTTCTTTGCCTCATGGGGCAAGGTGGCTTTATTTGACATTAGAATTTCATTTAAAATGGCAGGTAAGAGCATGAACAAAAGCAAAGTTTAGTTCCTCAACTGCCTGCTTTTGAAATTCAGGTGATCTGTCCCTAATCTGTAAGACTATTAACTGGAATGGTATGCTGCTAGGCTGCTCTCGTTTGGGAAGCATTTTGTGGGGGAGCTCTGGGCCCACAGTTATGTTCACAGGCCATCTCCTCTGCAGGGCTGCACTGGCTTGACGGCTGTTGGCTGGGTCCCCAGGTACTTTCAGGGCAAGGACTGTTGTGTTAAAACCACCTGCCATCTGTTGGTGCATATTTTTTTGGGATTCTAGATGATGAGTCACTTATTTCTGCTGCTGTTCCTTCTGCTGCCAAGACCAATTTACCTATTGGACTTCATCAGGGAATATACTGGAATAACTTATCATGAAGCTTTGTCCTATGCAAAGTTCATATTCCTAATGAGCAGTCTTCCTAGTGCCACCACCGGAAATGATGGGCAAGAATTTCCCCCACGTTTCCAGAAGGTGGGGAGATAACCCAGTAATGGTACACTGTGAGCCTCACTCTGGGCTCCCTCATGGCTAAAGCTATAGCCACTGACTGCAGTAGGGTTTGAGTTGAGAGTCCAGTGGTGTTCCCCTATTTTCTTGCCAGTGCTCTCTTGCTAGGGTGCCAGTGCTTGTCACCAAGTGTGGCAGGCAGGCCCTCAATGACCACTGGTAGAATGAATGATTGGGGTCTGTGACTACAAAGTGGGCAAGGCTGGCCTATCCAGGGCCACCAAGAGCAGTGGGCTGGGCCAGTTGAGCCCATGGAGGCCAGGACGCCTAAGTGACAACACCACATGCACAGCCATCAAGAACTCTGACATGGTTCTGACATAGTCTGTGTTTACCAGTCCTCTAAACTACAGTACTTGGAATGATTTTTAGGAAAAATTCAGGAGACTCTTCCCATACAGACAAGCTAAGTGCTGGGGCAGAAGCCAAGAGCGGGCGCAGCGGGCTTTGTGTGGTGTCTAGGGAGGAGGACTTGGCTCTAACAGGACAATAAGTGCCTTCCCGGGGACACACCTGAAGATCAGGTTAACATACCCCTCTGTCCAGTCGTGTGTGGTGGCCGGAGTCTTAGGCTAAAATACAAGAGGCACTTCTCTACCTAGTTTCACACAAATTGGTTTTTATTGTTAGTATCATCATCTTTTGTCAAAAAAAAAAAAAGTTTATTACGATGGTTCAAATCTAGCTTTCTTCATATACCCTAAAATATCCTAAGATATTTCTATGTTTCATGCCTTCCATTTATTTTTTCACCACCCAAAATTCTAAGCTAAATAGCAGCAACAAAATCCTAAGTGCAGAAGACTCTAATTCCTTCAAGCATGCTCCACTTCGCTCAAGTTTTCTAAAGCTTTTCCGTCTGGAAAAATTACCAAGTCCCGGGTGGGTGGGATTTTATTCTTACCACCGAGTGGGTGTGATTTTATGGGAGGCTCTTCCCCCAGCCTCCGAGATCAGAGGCAGAGAGATGCGTGGCTCAGTCCTGGTGGGCGGTGAAACTCCTGTACCGTAGGTGCCGGGCTCAGGTCCCTCCCGCTGTGGCCAGTAGCTGGAGGAGGTGGCCGCTTGTGTGGGCCCGCCCAAGGCACTGCCAGCCCCAGCTGACCTTTCCAAGGGAGCGGCCGACCAAGCCAGGATGGTACGAAGAAATTTTGTGAAATATTCAGAAATAACCTATTCCGGAGTGATCTGCGTGGTGCGGGACGCAGCCAGGACAAGGCGAGCCTTCTTCTCAGCAAGCCTCGGTGATGCTAATCTCCACTGCCAAGTGTCAGGGTGCTAGAAGTAACAGTTCTAACCGCGTGCTTTATCTGTGCACAAAGTGCACCTGTTGCTGAGGCAGCCACGTGGATATGCTTCTAGAAGTCCTGATCCCTGTCGTCTCTGTGTACCTGGGAGGTGGAGGCACGTACCGGGACTCAGGGCTTTGTGATGGCCGGGCTCTGGGGGTCTCGGTGCCCAGAACGTCTGAGTGCTCCCTACTCTGAATGACGATTTGGCCATATGGGGGATCGGGGTGAGTCATGGGAGTCTGGCTACACTTGCAACACGAGAGAACTTTGGCAAGTTGCCCACATCGCCACCTCAGAGTTGGAAAAACAAGACTCCGTGGTCTTCAGAGCTGCGCAGGCTGAAGCAGTCAGATGCGTTCCGTGCCAGTCAGCCAGGCGCTTGGGCACACGGTCTCTCAGCGCACAGCGGAGCCACACCGATCCGAGGCACCTCCTCCTCCTCCAGAAGATTCTACAGCAGAGAACAGGGCCCCGCTCTCACTGCTCCAAAGGACCTTCCATGTGTGAAGTAGGGGAGACACTGAAACTGGGGAATGAAACAACCCGTCCACACCCAGCTACGCCCAGGGGGCCGTTAGCACAAACCTGCAGAGGCTAGAGCCTTTGTGCATTTTAAAAACAAAAGATTCCATTACTGACAAAAGCAAAAGAAATCAGATTACACTGGCTTTTCTCAGTTTTAGAACAATTCTGCACATCCATCGTCTTGGAAGCCCTAGGACTATTCTAGAAACGTTGAGGTGCTGGGGCAGAAGAAGGCCCATTCTCTCTTTGATGCCATACCGCACAAGTAAGTGCTCTCCAAGAAACTCCGACCACTGAAGCCCAGCAAAGGGGCTGCTTCCAAAGACAGGGTCAACTGCCTGTTTCGTAAAGATACTTGCAAGAAATACAAATGCCAGTTAGATATTTCTTACACCCTGGTTATTTACCAGACTAGAATCCTCTGGGACGTGTTTAATCCTGCATCAGGTATAGAATGGCAAACCATCGGCTTCAGGAGAATCAGAGTTCATAGCAAAGGCAAGCAGGTGCTCCAGAAGGGACCAGTATTTTAGAAGCCCCCAAAACTCTGGAGAGGAGAAGTTGTGGCCACAGCTGTTTCAGGAAGAGCCTTGGTGACTTGCAGTCCACTCCTGCGGTGGAGAGAATGGAGCAGCTGGAATGGAGTCTTCTTGGCGCACTCGGTGCGAGTGCGGATGTCACTGCTTCAGAGGGTATGCTATGGGGACAAAAGTCCCAAGGATCCCAGCTGCACCAGGTCCATATGGCACTTGGAACCAGGCTGCTCGGGAGGCCACAGCACCCAAGCATGCTCCTTGCTCAGAGACCCAGGACCCCAGCTGGGTGGCTGTGGACTCAGGGCCACCCCTCCATGTCTTCCTGTGAGATGCCCAGCACCGACTTGTGGGGGATTCTGCACTCTTGCAGAGATCTGGTGAGGTCAGAAAAACGTCTCCTGGGCACCTCCATGGTTTCGATGCTGCAGTGTCCATAGCAGGTTTTGTTCTTTTGTTCAGCCACCGCAACGACGGTTTGCAAATCATCAGTTGGCCGGAAATACCGTACAAACCTTTGGCCTGATGGAGATCTGACGGCAAGCAGCAGCCTTGGTTCTTGGTCTGATGGTTCCTCCAGGTTTCTGGGCCTGGAGGAGCCCTGTCTCTTGCTATGCATGATGAATTTCCTCTCCAAGGCATAAGCTTGAGCTCTGGAAGCTTCTTCACTTGTCTTCAAGGTGCAGGTCTCCTTTTGGTAAAGAGCCCGGATGCTGCTCAGCTGCAGCGAGCTGGCCTGCTCAGCGACTGTGTCCACAGCCCCCTCCTCCAGGCTCTTCCTGCTGATGGAAGGAAGGACGGGGTATTTATTGAGAGAAGAGGAAGCCCCATGAGGCACTTGCTGCAGCAGCGACTCAGGGATCTCATCCAAAGCTCCCTGTTTTGGAGATTTGGGTGCACAAGCTACTGGCTTTTGGCTGCTTGGCGACTCACAGGGAATGGCTGGAGGCGGAGAAGACGGTATTTGGGGAAAGCACACCCCTGTGCCCTGGGATTTGTGCAGACTCGGCCGTGTCCGTCCCTTGGCAGACTTGGGCCTTGTGACGTGCATGTTTAGTGGCTTTGGCTGCCAAACGAAGCTGTCGGCTGCGGAGCTGACAGCAGCGCTGCGTTCAGGTGGTGCTATGTTCACAGGGGCTTCTGTGGCCATTGCTTCTCAAGACCCCTAAGGAAGCAGGAAAAAACAGAGGAGGCCGTGGGTTAAACTTCCGGGGACTGCTGCACCCAGGCTACTCACTGCCCAAGTGCCCAGAATAAGCACCAAGGGGCCCCAGGCCAAGGGGCCCTCTCTCTGGATTCTGGCAGCTGGAGAGGGACACCAGCAGCTGTTTGTTCATTTATTGGTGCATTCATGCATTCGTTCATTTTAGGCACTTGAAATATATCAGTGAGCCAAAGGCATTGCCATTTAAATGATTATAGTGACGAAGGACAGGGGTTAAATCCACAAGTAAATAGATATTTTCAAAGAGTAATCACTCCTATGAAGAAAAATTTTACCCCTGAGAGTGACTTAGGTGGGGTACTAATTCTTACTCTTTTGGGGGCCAGGGGTTTTCTTGTAAAAACCAGAAAACCTACTAGAAAATTCTAAGAGCTGTACCACTTAATTCTTATTCTTGTGGGGAGGGGCCTTTAAGCTGACTCCAGCATGATGAGAAGGAACAAGCCATGTCACAGTCTAGAGCAAGGGATGGCCAACTATTTCCATAAATATTTCCAGCCTTGGGAGCCACGAGGTCCCTGCTGCAACTACTTAACTCAGCCACCACAGTTTAATGTGTGGCCCACAGCATGGGCCACACATTAAACAGGCCACCGTGGCTGTGCTCCAGCAAAGCTTTATTCACAAAAACAGGGCATGGGCCAGATTTGGCCCTGGGGCACAGTTTGCCCACCCTGATCTAGAGAACTAGCAGCGGGGAGGAGAGCCAAGGTGGAGCCCTGAAGCAGGGCAGGGCTTGGCATGTTCCAGGGAACTTGCCAGCTCCCAGGGTGGCGACCCCTCCCTAGGAGGGTGGCCTGTACTGTCCCACAGACACGAGTCCTAGTCAGGAGTGTTACCAGCAGCTGCCTTTGCTCAAGAGTGAGAGTGACCCTGTCATGCGAATTCGGCCGGGAGACCGGGCTCAGTGTCACGCACAGCTGAGAGCGGGGACCAACAAGCGTCTCCCTGCACTGCCTTTACAGAGCTTCCCTCAACAAGGGACACGCCATCTGCCCTGGTACGTCAGGCACCAGGGAAGAGCCACCCTGTGGGGTCCCCATTTTTCCTTTCTCCCTCAGTCCTTTCTCGTTACCCTTTCCCCGTCTGCCCGCAGTGTGCCCTCACTTCATTTCCCCCTGCTGCCTTGCACTCCACCTCGTTAAGGGGCTCTGCACAAATCACTTAATACAAGATCCCTCCCCTGCCCTAACTGTCACCTGGGGGTTCTGGGAGAGGAGCAGGGCAGCCACACTACCGAGCTGGCCATTTGCCAGAACTCCCCTGTGAGTTCCAGACCAGGGGTCAACAGCCCTCTTCCGTAAAGACCCGGCAGTAGGTATCGCCAGCTGCTCCACGCTGACCTTGTAGTGGGGAAGGAGCCGCGTACAGTACTCAAAGGGGTGGTGTGGCTGCATTTTCATAAAACCTCACTCACGAACTCTGAAATTGGAGCTTCATATAATTTTCATACGTCACAAACTTTTTTTCTTTTCATTTTGTTTTTTCAATGATTTAAAAATGTAAAAGGTATTCTTAGCTCACAAGTGACACACACAAATGCAATGGGCTGGATGTGGCCCATGGGCCGTAATTTGGTGAACCCTATGCTAGACCGACTCCAAAGGGGAATCTGGGCACATGCGAATTCTATGGACTTGTGAGCCGGCAAGGCACAGTGATCGCCCAGTGGCCACACAGCCAGCTGGTGGCAGAGCGTGAAATAAAACCCAGGTCTCGTGACACGCGGTCCTGTGTCCTTTGCCCCCAAACAAGCTGCTTCTTGAGGACCAGCCTTGGCCCTCTCCCAGCACGTCATACCTGTCTCTCTGCTGGCTGCTCACCTTTGTGTCTTCCCGGCTACCTTCTGGGCACCCTGAGGGCCCCTGCATTTGGATCTCCCACGAGTGCGCCTGATGCCAGAAGCAATGAACTGAAGTGTGGGGGGAGGTGGGAGCATTCTCTGCGCAGACCCCATATTGCCAAGCCACTTCCATCTTGCTGGGCCCTTGGCTAACGCCACTGCTAGCCACCACCTCCTCCTCTCCAGTCACATCTTTCCCGAAACACTACAGACATCTTTCTGGGCTCCCTGCCTAGAGCTCTGGATCCTGACTACCGCTGTGACTCCTGCTTTCTCTGCTCACAAGCGCACAGGCACACCCCAGCCTTCTAAAGACTTCCTAGTGACTTCCTAGTACCTCATGGTCCTCAAGAAACAGCATCTTTGCACGCAAAGGACACAGAACCAGGAGGCACAAGACCTGGGTTCAGTTTCAGGCTCTGCTGCTAGCTAGTTGTGGGACTGTGGGGCAATCACTCTGCCTTTCTGGCACATAACTTACCATCTGTCAAATCAGCTAAATGACATTGGAGGTGTTATTTAAATACCTACGAACACCAGTCTCTTCATCTGTAACATGAAATAATGCCGGTAAGGTAGGAAGCACCAAGCTTGTTGCATGGTAGAGGCTTAATTAAATACCACTTTTTTTTTCCCTTTGGTTATCTGTTTAGTGCTTTCTATTATTCTGAGTCCAAAAGTCTTATCTGTTGCGTTAGAGCTTTTCCCCAGGGTGTTCGAGGTGGGTCTAGTCCCAGTCAACACTAATCAACTGGGTGAATCCCGAGACTCAGGCCTGCCCTGTCCTCTGCACAGAAATGCTGGGAGGTGGATTTCAATGAACTACCTACTGCTTAAAAATTCCTGAGTTGATCACTTCCCTACCAATTCCACACTTTTACTTACCTCAAACTCACTTCCTCCAAGCTCCCTTCATCACACAATCCTGAACAATGTAACTCAAGCCCCGCAGGCTTTGTATTCAAATCTTACCATTCTGTGCATGTTACCACTGTTGCCTCAATTTAGGAAGTAATACCTCTTCTTCTCCGCTAAACCACAACCAAATAAAACACCACATCCCTATATATTCCTGATGTCCTGCTCGGCTCAAAATCTTGGGCAAAGTTAGCTGCCTGTTCTTATTTTAAAGGCCTCTATGTTTTCCCCGTTCTACTCACAGCCTGAGTCTTCCTCCACTCCCATCCTCCACTTCTCCCTCGTCTTTCACACCCAGTCTGGCTGCTAGCAGCTCAGGAGTCTTCGCTTTAGCAAAGTTTTGGCATCAAAAGAGCCTGCCCATCCTCCTTTGTTAATTTCATCTATTTTCTGATCAACTGTGAAGCATGTCGTTTTCCCCCTTAAGTGCTCAAGGCTTTTTCTGGTAATGAAGCAGCTTTGCACTTTCTCTTAGGGTGGCTCGAGAAGGTCAAACTGTCCAACTGTTCTGCCAAAGATAAGCTCGACAGGCAAGCCCACGCCCCTCTCTGCCCACCCTCCCGGCTGGTGGAATGGCCATTAATTTGCCACAGCTTCTGCAGAATTATCACAGGCTTGGCTTGCGACACCCACACATGCCTCAGGAAGGTTTAACTGTCAGTAAGTTTGGTAACTTAGAAACCTCTTCCTTAACAACTTTGCTGGGGAAAGTCATGTGTTCTCGCAGGCCTCTGCTGGATTATTTTTAACAGTAAAACTTGAGTATGTGCATGCACTTTCTATACCTTTTGGTACTATATAATTATCCATGTTCAGGGGGTGTCATATTCAAGACACCCTGGTCATAAGATAACATGACTGCAAGCTATCTCGGAGAAAAACCTCAATTATGACTAATTCCCATAAACCCACTCATGGTTATTTAGAGACTAACACCTCCTTCAGGTAAAACCGTTATATCCAACCTGCTTTCATAACCCACTGCCTCCTCCTGAGCGCGGGGACCATCTGTTACATGGATCGAACACCAACTCTCCCCAGCACCCATTGCACGGATAGGGGAGGTGGGGGGAACAGGTGTTTGGGGATCTGGGCCACCTGTGCCTTTATATTCACACCTTGGTTCCCAAACTCTGCCCAGTGCCCTAGGTCCAGGAAGGCTTCTGCAGCAGCCATGATTATCCCCACCCAGCTCGTTTCACCACCTCTAGGCCTGGCAGCTGCTCAACCACAAAGTAATTTGACAAGATCTAGGCGTGGGCATCCATCAAGCTGCCAGCTGAGTAGGCAAGTGGCCTGTTTACTTAAACACAATAGCTGCACCCCAGAGGCCTGCTAGGAGTCAGGAAACAAACACTAAGCACTGTTTACAAGAAATTGCCCGAAGGGCAGGTGCCCATGCCTTAAAATTCATCGCTGAATCAACTGGGAAGAAGGAAGGTTTGATGGGAGAAGCTAAAGTGGGATTCCTGCTTTCCAAGGGTCCCCACAACCCACCACAGGGTCAGACCACCCCATTTCACTCACAACCCAAATCTAAACCTACAGTAAATGCAAGAAAATACAACCACCTACAAACCATCTGCTGGTATATACCAAGATGCATACATTTGAATTGGTCTTTTAAAAATGTGTATTAGTTAATTCTATCCCCTGCAAACACTTACAAGAACCAACAGGAGATGGTTGCTGGCCTGAGAATGAAAAAAAAAAAAAAACTTTGGTACCATTCCCAGTTCTACCCCAGACTAATGATTAGAATACACTGTCCTGTGCAGAGTGCCACAATGACCCACAAGCCAGCAAGTGATCAAAGGTTTGGAAAGGAAATTGGGGATGATTGCAGGGGCAGCAGGGCGGGGAGGTGGCGGGGATAACTCAATTATTTCCAGTTTTGGCAGCCCCAGAATGAAACAAGCATTAGGAGGGGTTTGGGGGAGGGGCGAGAGAGCTCCTCTGCAAAGTGAGAGTTGACTCGGGTGAAAGAGCACAGGTCTGGGGGAGGGTCCAGCTGGCTCTGGTGTCTGCGTGAGACCAGGACGTCCTTTTCTCTCTCTGGGTCTGTCCCTGTCGCTGCAGCCCAGCCAGGAGGGCATGGCCCGGCGGCCTCAGAGCCCCCTCAGCGTCCACGCAGCCGGGTCGTCCGGTTTCGGTAACGGTGGGCTCTGGCCAGGCTTGCTCTGCCCGGGGGAGCAGACTCTCCCCAAGGCCCCTCGCCTGCCTCCCGGGGTTCGCGCCCCGGACCGGGCCTGGGGACGCTAGCGCGTCGTCGTCGGGGACCCTGCCCGGCTCTCACCTGGCTGCTCCGCTCCATCCGCCGCCTGCGCCCCGGCGCCGTCCCGCTGGTAAACAGCCCCGGTCTCCCGGGCAACCGCCGGGTGGGGGGCCACGTGCTTCCGGCCTGACCGGAACCGGCCTGTCCGGGTGGGGTCGGGTGGGGTCGGGGTGCCTGGCGGGGAAGGCAGGGGCCGAGCCCCAGGCCGGTGGGTGGCGAGCAGCGGCGCGCGTGGCCCTGCCCAGTGGAGGCGACAGGGACCCGGCCTGCCTCTCCTCCTCGTCCTCACCTCCCGAGGGAGAGCCCACGGGGAAGGAGAGCTGAGGCCCGGGAAGCTGGGCGGCGGGCAGCAGCCCCGCTAGCCTCCGACTTCTAGTGGCCTTGGGTCAGGCTCTGACCCTCTCGGTGTCCTGGGTTTTAAAAGGAGGCTGTGGGACTGATTGATTCCTGTGAACCCCAGAATGTGAGCAGCTGCTTTAGGGTATGTGCTGGAGCTGGGGCGCGGGACCCCTTGTCTGCCTTGTCCATCCTGGGTACAGCCCTTCCAGCACCGGGTCCTGCCTCCTCCTTCCACATCCTGAGCTGTCAACAGCGTGCCGTGGAGTCCTACCCGCCCCTCCATGCTTCCAGCAACCCCTCACTTCCACAGCACCTGATGGGTCTCCCTGGCTTTGAGACTCCCGTCCATTACCCCCTCTGCTTCTCCCTCCTTCCCTGTCCTGGCCTACTGTCTCAGCCGGGCTCTGGGAAAGAGTCCTCCCCGCCCTGTCTGATGAAACCCCAAGCCCAGTCAGTCCACCCACATGCAGGTACTAAGGAAATCTTGGCCAGCCACGCACGGTGTAATGGAAGCCTGCGGTCGGTCTTCAAGCTCCACTGGACCTTCAACCCTCCACAGCAAGTCTTCCATCTCCCCGCCTCAGTTCTCCCTCCTCGCTCCTCAATGGCTCCTTCAAACCTGTCCTCGCTCCTGAAACCTCCCACCTCTCCCACTCCTTCCTCCCTCTCAGAGGATAACCTTACTGCCCTCCTCAGAGAGAACGGAAGCTGTCATACGGAAACCTTCTCAGCCTTCTGCCACCAGACCTACAAACGTGCCTGCCTTCACTTCCATGCTCCCTGCCTCCCTCCTGCTCTGACGGAGAGGGGCTGTCTCCTCTCGTCCAAGGGTAACTGCTCCTTCATGGGTGATTGGAAGCCCATTCCCAGCCACACATAAACACCCACACACACACTGTCCCCTTGGCCTAGAGGATTCTTCACCACCCTCCCCAACCCCAACCTCCTTCATTTGCCTAATTCCCATTCACCCTTCAGGTCCCAACCTAATGGTTGAAGCCTTTCTTCCAAGTTGGGATTAAGATGGCTTCCAAAGAAGTCCTAACTGGTCTGTTGTCTGCCAGGCTCTGTTCTAGATTCTTGGGATATGCAGATGAATAATTTAGTAGCTATATTATTAGAAGATAATGTTAGCAGACATACAAGAACCATAGATTCATTATCTGCCATTGTGGCAAAATAATTTGCTATCTGTTCTGTCCCAGACACGAGAACACGGTTTTGCTATAGGAACACAACTCTAACCCTCTTTCAAGACATGCACACGGATAAAAGAGTTACAAATCAGATTGTTTTCAATACGGTCTGAGCCAAGGGTAGAGGAGCAAGCACAGGCTGGACATGAATAGGTGCCAAGTGATTGGCATGGACAGAAAGTTCTTTGGGGCCCAGGAGGGATCGTTTCAGTGGTGATGTTTCTGCCCATCTCAGAAAGGGGAGCTGCTGGCGGGGCCGGGCTGGGCAGGCCCCCTGCGTGCGTTGCCCCCTCACCCACCCTGGCATCCGGGAGGCTCCTGTAGCTCCCCAAAAGTTTTAGGAGTTGGTGGGTTGCAGCTCAGTGCTGGCAGCTTATTTCTTGTTAATGATTCTGTCAGAAATATCTTAGCGATGCTCTTCAGCCCTTCAGCGCCCACCCAAAAAAAGGATTAAAGTAGATTCTTCATCAACTATTTTAATATCACCTAGGAATTATGCAATGCTTTGGAGAATCAAATTGGTTTCTCACCCCCCTTTGTGTGTGTGTGCGTGTGTGTGCGTGTGTGTGTGCGCGTGTGTGTGTGTGTGCGTGTGTGTGTGTGTGCCTGCCTTTGCTGGTGCACAGTGAGACGGTGGCTGTGCCTGTGGTCTGTTTAATGTCCAGCAGCGGACACCTTTTGCTCTCTAGTGTCCCATAGTCCACAGCCCCACGGGGAGGCTGGAGAGGAGGAAAGGAAGCCACAGGTCCATTGCCATGGCTCTGCTGCCTTTGTCTCCGACCTTCTGTAAAGAGGGTATCTTTAAGGATGCACTCACCAATGCCTGGTCTCTGGCACAGAGTGGATCGCAGTAAACATGGGCAGAGGTCGCTGCCCTGCCAGCTTGAATGTGGACTCACCTCCTTCCCAGCCGTGTCGAACTCTACTCCCCAGCTCTCTCCCTGGGCCCCAGCCAACTTGTTCCCCAGGTGGGCCCTCAGCCTTTTCGTCTCCAGCGTCTCTGCTCGTGCCAGCCCCGCCTTGCTCCCTTCCTTGAAGTTAATCCAAACTGACCGATTCTCCAAGGTCCATCTCACAAGCCACCTCTTGCATGTAGGCCTTTCTTGACCATGCCTCCCCAACCTTATGTGCTCTTTCTGGTCCCTTTCGGTCCAGTGGAACGTGTCCAAGATGGCGCTGTGCACCCCCACTGGGTCACCTCCTCTGATATCTTCACAACTCTCTTCCCCAGAGGCATCACTGGCCCCCTTTGCTTTAAAAACGGCAGAGCCTCAGGGCCCCTAGCTAGTGAGTGGAACGGCAGTGTTAGAACCTGCATCCAGCCAGTTGTGAAGCCCACCCTGGACCCCAGACTCACATGTCCCCACGTGGCACTTTATCTGTTCCGCCCATCGTGCTGGTCGTAGGGGCTGCAGCTGTGGCCTCTGGAGCTGAAGTCTGAGCTTGAATCCTGGCTCCACCACTTGCCAGCTAAGGCTCTTGGGTAACAGCTGTAACTTCTCTGGACCTCAGTTTCCATGCCTATAGAATGGAGATGATAAAGTAGGACTGTTGTGAGGATAAAATGAGTTCATACATGTAAAGGTCTTAGCACGGTGCCTGGCACATGGTAAGTGCATGGTGAGGGTTAATGCCATTATATCGTTTTCGTGGTATAGTGCACATCTCTAGTAGGTCATGAGCCTCTTGAAGGCAGGAACTTGCCTGTGTCAGAATGTCCTGCTTCGCCCACAAGATGCCTGCTTTGTGGTAGGTGCTCAGCAAGTGAGAATTAAATTAGTGATAATGCTGGTGCTTATTCCACAGCTGGCTTTTCTACTGAGAGATCCTGCCAGTCGATAATCCCCAGGGGTATCTGGCTTGAGATCTAAATGACCTCCCCTGGGGCTGGCTGAAGGTGGGAGCTCCAGTTGCTTAGTGGCTTGTCCCCAAAGAACACTGGGCCCCATTATGAATTAGTGACTTCTAGATTTCAGAGTCTATAGCCAGGATCCTGCTCCCTCTGCCCTTGATCTCATTAGACATGTGGATTGAGCTCATGGATAACTTTTAAGCAGCAGGTGAACCAGGTGGATATTCTCGTAGCAAGGCCAAGAGGCTGGCAGTTAGTCATGTCTCCTCATGAGTCAGTTTCCTGAGGGGACCTGCAAGAGGGAAGTTTCTGGATAATGAAACTTAACCCTTGAAGTCTAGTTGGGTTGCTTAACAACAGGATACATTCTGAGAACTTAACGTTAGGCAGTTTCATCGTTGCATGAACATGCCATGTACTTACACTAACTTGGATGGTACAGCCTACTACACACATAGGCCATACAGTACATAGCATATTCTCCTAGGCCACAAACCTGTACAGCGTGTTACCGTACTAAATACTGTAGGCAATGGTAACACATGGTATTTGTTTATCCAAACATATCTCAACATAGAAAAGGTACAGTCAAAATATAGCATAAAAGGTAAAAATGGTCCACTAGTGTAGGGCAGCCTCCTTATAATCTTATGGGACCACTGTCCTATGTGCCGTCCATCGCTGACCGAAATGTCACTATACAGCCCATGACTGCACTGCAGCTTTTTATTATTTTCCCACACCTTATTGGCAAATATCCAAAAATGTCCACTTCCCAGTTCTGTTAAGCAGAACATATCGGACACTGTAAACTCACCTTGGCTACTGTTGACCAACTGTTTCCACCTTCAGGAGCTTGTCGAATCTTGCCAGCACTCCGTGGGGTCCAGGGTCATTGTCCGCACCTGGCTGGTGGAGGAAGCTGAGATAGTCTCTAAATGGTTCTGCCTGGAGTCGTGGAACAGCGCCAGCCCTCTTTGACTAGACTCCTGAGTTAATTGCCCTTCCCCTTTGCAATCAGCTCACACAATACAGCCTTTTCTTGGCAACTCACAGTCAATAATTATGTTCCAGGTGCAATATTTTGATGTGGGTAGAGCCATCTGTCCCTGCACTCAGTGGCCCCACTGAATCCTCACGTTCCCCAGCTGGATGGGTACTATTATTATCCCAGGCACTCTTGGTTTTTAATCATTCCTCCCTTGCCTTCCTACCAGGAGACGCCACTCGAACTCCATTCCTGTTTGGTTACTGGGTCTGAGAAAAGTGGCCGAGCAGCTCATTAGAATCGTGTCTCAAATCAGAGTATAAAGAGTATAAGATCTGCTTGGCCGCTTGGGGCATCTTGGGTGTCGTGTTCTCCCCTGTGTTTTGGGCAGGCACGGCCCTTGGGTGCATGGTTTGCATAAGCAGGAGAACTGCCAGCGGTTAGGAGAGCTTGCTTTGGAGTCAGACACAGCGGGGTTAAGTCCAGGACCTGTCAATTTGCAGAGCAATGACCTGACCTCTCCCAGCTTCCATTGCTGCTATTGATAAACTGGGATGGATAATACGTACATGATTCCTGGGAGTAGTCGAGCAGATTCAAGGAGATGATTTGTATACCGTGCCCAGGGCATGTTGGTACTCCACAGCTTGTGGTTATTGTTTTTATTTCTGTAACTTGAAGTATGGTAAGACTCTGATTGTTCATTCATTCATTCATTCCTCAGATGTTTATTCACTGTCCATCTCCCCGAGCATAGTTTCCTTATCTGCAACATGTGGGTGATAATGGTACTTATCTAGTCGGGGGATGTGAGTAAATATACACAAAGTGCTCAGAAGCCACGAAGGGTATAAAACGAGCGTGATGAATACGTCACCCACCATCATCATGTACTGCTTTGTGCCAGACACGGTGCAGGCACTCGGCATAGGAGGTGAGCAAAACGGACAGGACCCCGTGTCCTTATGGAGCACACAGGCTCTGTCCGTCTTATTTTCTCTACGAAGAGAGAAGCCAACCAGTGGTTCATCACTGACTATACAAGATGAATGGAAGGGCCTGGCAAATGACCCAGGGGTGGCTCCTGGGACCCAGCTGCTGGTTGCTGCCCTCGGAGTGGCACGGAGTCCATGCCATGCCTCTGACCTTGTTCTGGCGCCTCCTCAAGTCTCTGGCCCTGTGCTCTTGGGTTAGTTTCAGCATAATCCTAAGCAGCCCAGAGCGATTAATCGAATAGAGAGAACCGAGTCTGCATCATAGCTGTGAAGATCGGTGTCTGTGAAAATGCCCTCAAACCTCAGAACGCCACGCGGACGAGAGGCCTAGGCGGGGAAACTGGTGAGGTGGGGAGAGCGCTGGATTTGGAGTTAGGGACCAAAGTTTAACTCCTGGCCCTGCCACTTAGTCGCTGTGTGGGTTTTTCAGGTTACTTCTCCTCACTCGGCCTTGGTTTCCTCATCTGTCAAATGGGACTGGGATAGCACCTGCCTAGTAGGGTTGCAGCAAGGAGTAAGTAGGAGCAGAATATAAATGTAAGTGAATTAAGGGCCTCCTCCAAGACCTCCTCCTTTAGGAAGCTCTCCGTGACCCTCCCAGGAGATTGCACTGCTCCTTCCTCTGAGCTCAAAGGCATTTATTTGTACAGCCACTAGAGCAATGCACACCCCTCCATACCAGCTTAGATTGGACTCCCTGGAAACGGACTCTGAGACCAAAAAAACAAAAGAAAAAGTGCATTGTTGGGAGGCTCCCAGAAGATACAGCTGTCAGGAAGGGAGCAAGGCAAGACTGGGGAGAGGGAGAAGCTGACAGAGAGAGAGAAGCTGTCACAGGGAGAAGCTGACACAGAGAGAGAAGCTGATACAGAAGGAGATGCTGACACAGAGGGAGAAGCTGGCTACAGCGGCAGTTACTGAGGTCTTGGCCAACGTTCCAGGGAGCTCTGGGGCTGGGCTAACCTTTCAGAGCTGTCCTGCAAGAGGCAAAGGATGGCCCTTTAAACTATCATAGCAGCCAGGCCTTGGCTTGAGGCTACTGTGCCTCTCCTCCCTGGGAAGGGTCATATCCTTGGGCCACATAGTCCCCTACGCAGGGGGCAGTTCCTAGTGAGTGGGAGCATGCAAAGCAGCTGATACCCCATCCCCGTAGAGCAGTGGTCCCCAACCTTTTTGGCACCAGAGCCCAGTTTCATGGAAGACAGTTTTCTCACACACCAGTAGAGGGGACGGTTTGGGGATGATTCAAGCACGTTACATTTATCGTGCAGTTGGACCTCTCTGCTAATGATCATCTACATTTGCAGCCGCTCCCCAGCGCTAGCATCACCGCCTCAGCTCCACCTCGGATCATCGGGCATTAGATTCTCATAAGGAGCGTGCAACCTAGCTCCCTCGCCTGTGCAGTTTACAGTAGGGTTCGTGCTCCTGTGAGAATCTACTGCAGCCGCTGATCTGACAGGAGGCGGAGCTCAGGCGGAGATGGGAGCGATGGGGAGCGGCTGTACATACAGATGAAGCTTCGCTTGCTTGCCTGCTGCTCACCTCCTGCTGTGCAACCCGGTCCCTAATGGCCATGGGCCAGTACTGGTCCGCAGCCCAGGGTTCGGGGACTGCAGCTGTACAGCGTCCTGCCAAAGACTGTGCTAACCATGCCAGAACCAAACATAGAATTTCTGCCCACATGGGGCTTTGGGGCGATATTTGGTCTATATTTACTTCTTTGGCCTCTCCAGCCAGCTGGCAGCCTTCCTTGGGCCAGAGCCTTCTCATTAGAAGAGCTCACTGGTGCTTAATCAGAGTCTACCAAATTTCATTACCAGTAATGTGCCCAGGTCCCTTTCTTTGTCACTCTAAAATGTCATCACCTGTAAGTTCAAAAGATGTCAGTCCCTTCTTTGTGGGCTAAACCTGCACACAATTATTTTTGCAGACTCAAAAGAGAAAAAGGAAGCATGCCTGTGGGGATGAAACCTGATTAAAAACCATCCTGCACAGAGGTTCAAGTGGAGTTGCTCTGGGACCAGGCCTGGGCAGGGCCCAGCCTCACAGCATCCGTCAGAATTTTTGCCCAAGAGCAGAAAACTAGCAAAGGGACCTGCAGCAGGATGGTCATTTTGCCCCAGGTGTAAAACTAGCCTAGCACCTGCCAAATTCTCTAGGCTGAACTGAGCTATTGTTCAGGCTCCAAGTCCTGACAGTTATCAGGTTTAATTTGACTTACAATGGGGCACATGAAGACCACTTGCATTTAAAAAAAGCTTTAGACTGACCCCTGGCCATGCCATGGCCCAGACACAAGCCCAGGTTCTCTCTGTTGTCCCATGGGAAGTGTGCCTAAGGTGGCTTTCGTTACCACTGCGAATGGCGGTATGAATGGCGTAGGTCCCTGTTACTGCATTTTATGGTACAGAGCAATTTAACTTTCATTTTTCCGGCTGGTCCCTACAACAGGTCCTTGAAGTGGAGACCTATGTGATTGTGAGGAATTTGTTCAGCCTCTCTGGGCCTGAGTCTCTTAAGTGGTTGTGAGGATTAAATCATGTAATGTCTGTGAAGCACTGAACATTTATTTTTATTTTTTAATTTTTTTAAAAAAACAAGTTATGTTGGAGCCCTTAAAGTTTCTGCAGTTATTAATAGGTATTTTTAGACTCACTTTACAGGAGAGGAAGCTGAGATTGCTAAATTTATGGATAAGATACCTGAGTATCAGGGAAGGAAAACACTGTGGGACTATGATGCAAATGAAGCTAGACTTTCCAGAGCCGGATTTTCTCTTTCTTTCTCTCTCTCTCTCTCTTTTTTTTTTTTTTTTTTTTTTGAGATAGAATCTCACTCTGTTGCCCCAGCTAAAGTGCCATGGCATCATCTTAGCTCTCTGCAACCTCAAACGCCTGGGCTCCAGCCTCCTGAGCAGCTGGGACTACAGGAGCATGCCACCATGCCTGGCTAATTTTTCTGTTTTTAGTAGAGACGAGGTCTCGCTCTTGCTCAGGCTGGTCTCCAACTCCTGAGCTCAAGTGATCCTCCCGCCTCGGCCTCCCAGAGTGCTAGGATTACAGGTGTGAGCCATCCACCCGGCCTGGAGCTAGATTTTTATTATGAATAATATATATGCCTTTTAAACTTGGGAGCAGACGGAATACTGACTCCAGAAAAGAACAACAACAACAACAAAAAGATGAAGAGATAATGTTGCCAAAGACAGAAATTAAAAACAAAAAGAAAGCTTTGCACTTTTCCAACAACTGAACCCTTCTTATTTTAATATTCAGGTCTAAAACACCAGAAAGGGTACCATACACAAAGATAGTGAGGTTTGAAAGAGATTCCTTTGAGTCCTCCACTGAGGGCATCCAAAGGCACTGCAGTTGGGCTTTTGCACCCAAATGGCCTCACCTCATTTTGGTCATTGCATCCCCGAACAGGAGTTCAAGTGCAAGACCCCGCATGCACAGACGAAGGTGTGGCCGTGGCGCCTCAGGCCCCCTGGTCTCCTTGGGAATGAAGGTCACTGCCATTCTCATCATCTTCATCTCCTGCTGTAAGTAGTGAGCCACGGGATGGCTCCAAGGTCCTGTCCTCCTGTCTGTGTCACTGGGACCCCTCCTGGGGAGGTGGCGGGTGAGAGAAAGCCATAGGCCACTCAGAGGAGAATCAGGAGTGGAACAGGCTCCTGCCAGTGTTCTCCTGCTTCCGTCTCTGCTGTGAAGTGGCCTGACCCCAGCGTTGGGATTGCATAAAACTTCCAGAAAATCAAAGGTTTCTAAGCATGTACTAGAAAAGAGTGTTTGACTGTTTTACCACCCCCAGCCCCAGGAGTCTTTTTTCCTTTGAATGTTAGTTGCTTTTATTTAAAATCATGTGGATTCCAGAATAAAAATGCAAGCGTATATCTGGCTAATTTAGAAATGAGTATTGCCTATCAGAAAGACATTCTTAGGGTGACTTATGGAATAGGTGGTAATTGTAAGTCATTGCTACCAGGAGATCAGGTTCCATACCTGCTCGGTGGGAAAGGACCTCCTGGGGAACGGTTTGGAAACTGTTAGAAGACTCACAGAAGGACTCTCTTGCTCAATAACTTGAGTAGAGATTGTCCAAATCCATTTTCCTGTCTGTTTCAGCTGTGTCGCAGTAACTTTTGGGTCCCTAAGTCAAAAAATATTAAAGATGTCCTTCTCTCTTCCCCTTAGTCAGTGGTGAAATTTAGTTTTCAGTATCATGTCGTAAGGGGTGCCCATATGCAGGAAGAACCCTTTCTGCAGCCACCAGTGTGTCCCGAACACCAGCCCCGTGTGTGGCTCCACCCTTTCTCTAGGGATTGCTGGGGCAGCAGGGACCACCCTGGGCTTCAGCCCCCACCCTACCCACGTCAGCCTTTCATGACAACAAGGTGTCCAAACACAGCAGTGAGATGGGAAATTGCCTGAGAAAATTCCCCCTAACTCTCTGTGTCTGCTTTTTCTTCTTTGAGTGTGTGTTTTTATTATATTTTTATTGCAAAACTACTCTATGCTTGTAATTCAAAAGTAAAACAAATGAGTATATAGTTAACAAGGTAAAGCCCCTTCTCAATCTTCCCAGACCCCAATCCTTTTCCTACATCCAGAGGTAGCCACTCTTAAGAGTTGGCTATACGCCCTCCTATACAGCTGGTATGAGCCTTTATGCACACACATTTAAAACATTATAATAAAAAAGTATAATAATACACATGCTTATTGCAAAAAATATATATGTATCAGACAACATGAAATTATATAACATAAACATTGCCTGTTTCTTTCTCTTATCTACCTCCTCAATCCCATTGCCTGGAGATATTGCTATTAAATGGAATATATTCAAGACACATAACTTTGTTGTTATCCCCCTATCGGTGGACATGTGGGTGGTTTCCAATTTTCTGCTATCACAAGTAATGCTGCAGCAAACCTCCCTGCATATACAGTTCTGCCCTCTTTCATAAGCATTTTGTAGAAGCAAAAATTGCTGGGCCCATGTGTATTTTATTTGCCATTTACATAAATGGATTGAGGGTGTTTTTCCTGCCTCTTAAGTATTTTGTTTCTCCTATGAGATTGCAATGCCTGATGACATCTGAAGGGACTGGCATTTCTGGCTTTGAACTTTTCCTGTTAATGTTGCATCAGACCTGAGGGGGATTCTGCCTCGGACGGTGGTTTTCTACTTTTGGTGGGAAAACCATGGTTGGCAGTGGAGCATTCTCTTAATGTCATGGAAATGGGGTACTCATTCTGGGTTAGCAAGGAGCTAGCTGCGTTGTGGGGCTAACGTTGATCCTATTTTCTTCCTTGGGAAAGGGTCTGGTGATTCCAGCTGTGGCTGTGCACTTTGCTTTAGGGGTCTGGTGACATCCCGAATGCAAAACGTCCTAGTGAGGGGAGGGGACGTCAAGGCAGCACGTGCTCATTGCATCTGTTCTTCTTCCCTGTCTTCTCATTGGCAGTGGCGGCCCCTACCCATAGCAGCTTCTGGCAGTTTCAGAAGATGGTCAAACACGTCACAGGGCGCAGCGCCTTCTTCTCGTATTATGGATACGGCTGCTACTGCGGGCTTGGGGGCAAAGGGATCCCTGTGGACGACACTGACAGGTGGGTGCAGAGGCTCTGGGCCGCCCATCATTTGGTTTGCACTGAAGTCCGTGCACGAAGCTAGAGAGAGGCTACTAGGTTTCTTGCATGGCGGGTAACAGAAACCAACTCAGGCCAGCGTAAGGAAAACCTGAACGGGAGTTGGAGGGTGGTTCTCTAGGAACCCAGGGTCGGGGCCAGCTTCTTGAGTGTGTGACCTGGGAATGGCGCAGTGTGGTTTACTGCTCTGCTGTCACCCTCTTGAGATTCTCAGTAAGGGCCCCGAGTTTTCACTTTGCCCTGGGCTCTGCAATTATGTGGTCAGTCCTGCCCAGAGCTCTAGAAACTCTTTCCTTCTCGTGGTCAGTGTGCCCTTCTTTCAGCAAACCAGCCTTGGGGATCATAGGCACAGCAGGACTGACTCACCGTCTCCCACTTCTAATTCCATGCTCTAGGACAGGGAATCCAAGTGGCCCAGTTCGGAAAAGTTGTCCATCTGGGCAAGGTCGCGTGGTACAAACCTGGAGTCCAGGCCCACTCCAAAGGGTGGGGGTGGGGGAGTGTGAGTTCCTAGAAAAAGTAGAGGTGGGTGTAATCTGGTGAGTGTATGAGGAGGTAGGAAACAGGACGGTTTGCATGCTATTTCATCTGAAGAAATAAGAAAGCAAAATGTTGCTTGCCACATTTAACCTAGCATGGAGACGTGTCCTCACAGCCTGCAATATCACTCCTGGAGCGTGAGTCCCAGGGGTTGGGCTCATGGAACTGTGGACGTTCCAGCTGGACGGACCCCAGAGCCCTGGAAGGGCAGTGGCGCTTATGCAATGCCCATTTGGGCCAGGCACTGGGATTGTGACTTGCACATGGGGCCTAATTTAATCCTCACCAGGAAGGGACAAGGCACTGTTACAGCTGCATTTTGCGGGTGAGGACCACAGGAATCCAAGATCAAGAGTTGCTGACTCACCCCCCAAAGGCACGCAGCACCTAAGTGGCAAAGTCAGGATTTGAACAAGAATTTACCTATTTCAAAGTCTGTCCCCTTTCCTCAATGCTCTGTGCCTCCCTGTCCAAGTCCAAAAGCTGATCAGAAATTGAACACTATTAGCAAAGATGATTAATGGCAAAGCCGTCCGCCTGCAGGTGGGAATGGCAAGGGAGGGAGCCCAAAGCATCTCTCTTGGCATTTCAGGCCTGAGACTGCAAGCCCAGGTGTCTGCACTCCCACCCCTGCACAGGGGGATGTCATTTCTCCTCCGATGCTCCCCCGTCCAGCTCCGGCTAACTCTGGGCACCCTGAGAGCAGGGACTACATCTGTCTGTGCTGACAGTTGGCTCCTCGGGCAGCTTGGCACACTGTAAGTGCCCAGTTCAAATTGTTCAATGAGCGAATGAGTCACGTGGATCTAGATTCGAGTCCTGGGTCTATCATCTTCCACTGTCTAATTTTAGGAAATCCGCCTCTCTGAATCTCATTTCCTCCCCTACAAAATGGGACAATGATGGCACTTTGGAGGGTCACTACGAGTAGCTGATGAGACAGCTGTGGGTACCAGAGAGGGCTCAGTGACTCTTCCTGGGCATTTTTATTCTTTTTAATATCATCAGTAATTCACCTCCCCGCCTTCAGTGCCCTCTCACCCAGGAGAGGAGGCAGGTGAGTCCTTCCCAGTCCCCACCAGATGTCCTCCAGCCACTTCCCCAGGGACCCACCCCCAGGCACAGCCCCTCACCGCCCTGCCCTCCTGTCTGGCCCCAGATGCTGCCGGGCGCACGACTGCTGCTACGAGAAGCTGAAGGAGCTCGGCTGCCAGCCCGTGCTGAACGGCTACCAGTTCCACATCGACAACGGGACCGTGGTCTGTGAGTAGCCTTCTCTGTAGGGAAACGTCTTGGAACCTGGCCCCTTCCCTAACATCTACTTCCGCTTTGACCCAAGGAACCTTTTAGAAATGAGAATTTTCCAAGTGCTTTGGGATGGAAGGAGGCAGTCCCTAGAATCAGAGCTACTGGGGGCGGCGGGGGGTGGGGGGGCTTGCTTTGTCCCACCTGGTCTCTGCCCACGGCGGCTGTATCTCCGATGCCCTATGGGAGCCCAGAGCCTGGCAGGTAGTACATGCTCAATAAACAGTCATTGGCTTGAGCTTGCATTGAGTTTTGCAGCTTGCCTTGGCAACTGTCGCTGTCGAGGCCATCTTCCCTTACTTCTGTCATGTGTTAACAAAGCAGTCGGCTGTCTTGCCGTTGAACAAATATTTGGTAAGGGCAGCTGCGTGCCAAGCACCGGGGTGGGTGCTGTGGGGGACACAACAGCACACAGGCGGGAAGCGGAAGGGAACTCAAGTGCGGTTGAGGCCATTGAAGGAGCTGGGCGGGCAGGTGGACAGGGTGTCCTGGCCGCGGGCGAGGCACTGGCATCCAGAGCATGTTCCGGGGCTGGCGGTGTGTGGGTACATGCAGGGCGAATCCAGTCTAAAGAGCAAGCATATTTGAAGGCGTTGGGCGGTAGCCTTTTGTGAGTATGATCTGTGCCCGCGTTGCTGGGCGGTTGGGTGGCCCTAGCGGTACTGGTGCAGCTCATCTGCTGCCTCGCCCTGGCGGTTGCATGAGTCACTTTCCACCCAGGTGTGTTTATGCACAGCTTTGGGTGCTTCTTGGAGTTCATCTGCCTCCTCCAAGGTCAGGGGACTACCACCTCCCCTCCACTCATCCTCCAGGAAAGGGAAATACATCCTCCCCTCCCCCCAGACAGTGGGTGCTGAGTGCTCAGACCTCAGGTCTCCCCTAGACCCCTACCCAGGATTTGGGCTCCGTGCACACTGAGATCTAGTTAGGACTGTGAGGTCTCCCTGGCACCAACCAAGGGACGTGAAGCATGGTGGGCTGGGGCTCAGGCCTCTGCGTTGGGAAGACCAGCCTCAGCTCTGTCTGCTGCTCGGCCCTCACAGCCCTCTGTCCACAATGCATCATCAACAGGGAAGGAACCCCCTTCTGTTTCCTGTGCGAGCTCAAGGCGGCCTCCTGAGCTGGAGCTCTCTGGTCATGGTCATCCTCGGGCCTAAAGCAAAATGTCTCTTCTATGACACCCCCAAGGCCACATGCCATCCCATCCAGGAGATGGGAAGGGATCAGGGCCTAGTGGGAGAAGTAGGGAGAGGGGACTGGAGAAAGTGGCTCCCAAGATACTATTTGCTTCAGTGTACAATGTCCTCTTGTGCCAGGGGCCTCCTCCCACCTGTCTCTGCCCCACCAGGGTGAGGAGGCCTGGCTGGCCCAGACCAAGCCTCCACCCTGGGCTCCTCTAGGCCGCTGCGCTCACCAGAGCTGGCCCGGGCACTCTGCACCTGGGGCAGCTTCTTTATTCAACCTGCTTCACCTTCCCAGCCCAAGACCACAGGAGATGGGGGAGCATGGAGGAAAGTTCCAGAGGCTGGAACTCCAGGAGGTGGCCCAGGGAACTGTCCCCGGATTGGCACCTGCTAGGTGGTGGTGGGAGGTGCAGGTAGGGGCTGGAAGCTAGACTGGGAAGCTGCTGGGTGGGCTCTGCTTTCTTCCCACGTCCTCCCTGAAAGTTGCTCCTGAGGCCTTGGCCAGGGCACCTGGAGTCCTAGCCAGCTTGGGGAATTGCGTGGGAGGAGGCTTCCGCATCAGCACTGGGGCAGCAGCAGCCCCTCCTCAGCTGACCCAGCCAGTGAGGACCAGGCTGACCCGTCTATCCCACCCCACCTCCCCCAGCCCCTGTCCCCCGGAGCAGGGCTGAGAGCCAGTGATCTGGGTTCTAATCCTGGGGCCGCTACTGGCATGTGCTGAGATCCAAGCCCACTCGTTCATTGCCCAGTGCTGAGTGAGCACCCACTGGGCATCCACCCAGGCCCAGCACTGCCCCAGGGGTCAGGGGCCCAGAACAAGGCAGACCCAGTCTCTGCTCTCCTGGCATTGCTGGTCTTGTGGGGACTCCAGAGCTGAAAGTTCCCTTGAGACAACCCAGACCAACCCCTCACTGTAGCAGCAGGAAGACTGAGGCCATCAAGGGGAGGGTTTGATCCAAGTAACAGACAAGGTGGGGACATGTGTGTCTTGAACCTTTCCAGTGCCCTGGAACATACTGCCTGGCCTGAGTTATCTGGGCCTCAGTTTTCTCATCCACAAAATAGGCATAATAACAACAGCTGCAGTTTATGAGCATCAGTGACGGATGCTGTGCACACTGCACCTTGAACCCCCACGATGAGCCTCTGAGGTGAGCCTTATCCCCCCATGACTGAGGAGGACTCTCAGGCTCACAGAGGTCAAGCTAGAGGGCCAAGGCCACACAGCCAGGGAAAGAGGAGTGGGGATGCAGACCCAGTCATCCTGCTTCACCCCACCCTGCCCCGTGGAAGGCGATGGGCTCGCACCTGAGTGAAGGCTCACACACAGCCAAGTCCCAGGGTCCCCAGCAGGCTGGCCAGGACGCTCTGCCCCAGCCCGGGGAAGGCACTGAGGAGAAAATGGAGGTGGGTTCTCTGTGAGGCCCCAGAGTTTTCCAGTCCTGCTGCAAGGCCTCAGAGTCAGGCAGGGCTGGGCCTTGGTTTCCTCGTGTGCCAAACAGCTGAGTACCTGCACTTCGCGAGGTCACTGGAAGGACTGACTGACAGGCCCCAGCTACAGGGGCTGGCTGCAGTAGGTGCTTCACTGATGTCCTTCCTTTTAGACGTGGAGATTCTCTTATTGTCCAAGTTTTCTTTCCCCCTTTGCTTAAGCACTGGGATGTTCTTTACCAATGTTCGGAGCTTCCTTTGAAGAGCCCACTCTGCGTTTGCCCCCCTCGGGCTAAGGCCATTCACCCCTTATGCAACAAGACCTCTTCCCCTACCCTAATGGCTCCTCCGTTCACACAGCCGCCCCTGCAAGGGTTAACTGCCTCCAGCCTCCCCAGTTCTGAAATCCCGCACCCAGGCCTGGTCCCAGGTTGCCTAGCAACAGGGGCTGCTCTGGGATGCAGGAGGTGAGCAAGGGAGGGAAAGGAAGAAAACAACTTGGTCTGTCCACCTCTCTAAATGTCACTGGGAGATCAGTGCTGAGAAAGGCCTGTCACCCGAGCCCAGGGACCAATTTGCCTGGTGGGGACAGCTGCCCTCAGGCCAACTGGGAGGTGTTTTTCTTTCTCCTCCTTTGAGTGGGCTTACATAAGTACTTGGCATTTGCAAGGGACTTAAAGATCACCCAGGGGTGACGCCCTCTCCACCCCCACTCCCATACATATGTGGGGTGGGGAAGGGCCCGGCCAGGGGAGGCAGAGCCTGGGTTCCAACCAGCGGTGCCTCTGTCATCTCCATGTCCTGGCTCTGACTGCCTCTCTCTGCCAGAGGGGGAAGGCAGAAACGGTAACCATTGAGATGTGCAGCTTGCAAAGACTGTTCTCAGTTACTGTGGAATGTATTCCTTCGCTCGCCGACCCGTCACCCATCTTGTCTCCCGGCATGCACCTCTCTCTACCCCAGTGGTCTTGCTCACCTCTGTGTGTATTCACGCCCCGACTCTCCCTGCAGGTAGAATGGAAGTTCCGTGAGAGCAGGGCGCAGGCCTGTCCTGTCCGGGTCTCTCATTCTTAGGGCCTAGAGAATGAGGCCCCTGGGCCTATGCAGTGTGGGGTCTGCCTTCTCACACCTGCACCCCAGGTTCCCAGCCGAAAGCCAGACACACGCTGGCAGCTCAATACCTGTTTGCTTAATGAGTGGATGGATGAAGACAGGAATAGGCAATGCTGGTGTCTTTCTCTCCATCCGAAAGCTGAGGAAACAGGCTCAGAGAGGGAAGCAACCTGCCTGAGACCCTAAGCACAGGAGTGGCAAACCTAAGCCCTGAAGGAGTAGCCTCCTGTCCCTAGGGGTGGCTCCTCCACTGGCCGCTGCCAGCATGTAGCAGCGGAGCATTCACTGCCTGCTAGGGGCCGAGCTCAGCCACCAGGAAGACAAAGTCCCTGCCCTGAAGGAGCCTGTGTTCCAGGGAGGGTGAGAGACCGTATCACATTCATAAATAAAGCTACATTCAGACACGGACAAGTGCTCGGAAGCACCTCCAACAAGGTGACAGGCCAGGGAATGACAGGGACAGGGGGAGGAAAGTCTCTCTGGGCAGTGTGCTGGGAGCAGCGGAGCCTTGGGAAGGAGCAGAGATGAGGCTGGCATCTGGCCGGGTGGACAGGGAAAGGCCCTCGCCTTCCACTTCATGGCAGGGGAGCCCTTGGGGAGTGTTAAGCAGGGGGCACTCTCAGTTTGCTCTAGCGAGGTCACTCTGGCTGCTGTGCGGGGAAGGGCCCGTTGGGGGGCTGTTTTGAAGCGCTGTAACCACAGCTGCGTCAGAGTGCAGGGACAGGGTGGGGAGGGGTGTCAGACCCTGGGAGGGAGGGAGAGTTCTGGAGGGAGAGTCAACAGGACCTGCCAGTGGATTACATGGGGGATGTGGAGGAAACAGAGGCCGAATGTGAGGCTCTTGGCCCAAGTGGCCGTAGACAGTGGTGTCCCTACTAAGCTGGTGAGGATGTGGGGAGAAACCTTGACAATAGCTGGAGTTTGGTGGGAGCCGTGCTGGGTTTGAGATACACATCAGACATGGGGGGGATGGCAAGTGGACACGTGCTTTGGACCCTGGAGCCCAAGCAGAGGTCTGAGCAGGAGCCGAGAGCCTGAGCACATTCCAAGTCCTGACACTGCACAAGTATAGCACGCAGAGAATTTGGAGAAGACCAGGGCAGAGGCCAGGGGCACGGGCAGGGGCCTGGCAGGGGTCCGGAGCAGCCGCAAGCAGACCTGTTGCCTTGTTGCATGTGTGGAGATGTAGTTCACCGAATGAGAAAGAACGTTCTGAAGCCTTCAGTTTCTTCGTTTATGCCTCGGTTTCTCCATTAGCACATTGGGAGATGCAGGATCTGTATTTGGGCTTGATTTTAAAAGCTGGCTTCCAAAGAAACTTTTCTTGGCCTGGGGTTGCCTCTTCTTCCATGTCGTGGTAGGCCAGTCCCACCGCGGCTGAGGGATGCCGTGAAAATGACAGTCCACAGCAAAGGACCACTGTCCAAGGTCAGTTCCAGAAGGCCTGGGCCTGGGCCAGCCGTGGGAAGTGGAGCTGAACAGCAGCGAGGATGACACTTCACGGGTTAGAGATGCTGGGAAGACAGGCGAGGAAGGGAGAGGGCAGTGGGAGAAAGGAAGGAGGAGGTTTAGGGAATCAAGATGAAAGAAAGAAGAGACAGGAAAGAAGAGACAACCAGAAAACAAGATAAACAGAAAGAGGCGGACAGGAAGGGAGAGTGGGCGAGAAGGCGACTGAGGAAGGTAAGACAGGTGTCAGGTTGCCAGGGCAACAGCACCTGGGGGGTGGGCAGCACCCCAGGCCAGGCTGTCTGGGAGGACGGTGAGCTGCCGAGGGGGAGTGGGACGGCAGAGGGGACCAGGCGCCAGGAAGAGTGGGAGAGGCAGGCCTGGAGCGCCAGAGGCGAGAACATCCCTGGCAGATTTCCCGAGGGCGAGCGGGGAGGGGCCGCGGAGCCTCGGGCGGTGTCGGCAGCCTTGGAAATCAAGTCTCGGGGACGTGTGGGAGGACAGCTCTGCAGGACGGACTTGGCAGAGGCAGGATGGCGCACAGACAGACGGTAGCCAGCTGGGGGCCAACTCCACAGGGCACCGCTTCCTCCTCCCTGGGAGCCTGTGCGTCACCCTGGTGACAGCAGCAAGCACCTGTGACACATCCTGCGTGCCGGCACATCCAGCCCACCTGTGAGCAACAGTCCCCGCCACCGCCCTGCGGACCAGACACGGACTCGTTCGTGACATGGCTGAGTTTCAGCACCGTTTTCTAGATGCGGAGACCGTCGCCAACTTGCCCAAGGTCACAGACCGGGGAGTCTTGTGGTCTCCCTTCCTCCCTCCCAACCCGGAAAAGAGAATGGAACTGGGCTAGAGTTATCTAGAAAGAGGCGGCTGTGCCTGAGACAGCCCCTGCGTGTGCATGGCACGCACACACACACACACACACACACACACACACACACACACACACACACACACACACAGTACTACCGCTCTGACTAGTATGGAAATAAAGGTCCCCATCTAGTGGCAACTCGTCCAAAGGGCAGACACTCAATCCCAAAGGCCCATGAGGCTTCCTTCATTTGTTCGGTGTTTCTTGAGCATCTACTATGTGCCAGCGCCTGTCCTGGACGCCTGTGATACTGTGACGAGCCAGACAGACCAGGACCCGTCTCAGGAGCTCATGCTCCGTCAGTGGGGCACAGAAGTGAGTAAACAAGTAGGAGAAGCGCAGACCGGGAAAAGCTCAACAAATTAAGTAAACACGGGTGTGCGACAGAGTGGCCCAGAGAGCGCCGTGGATCGAGAGTCAGAAAGCACCTCTCTGAGAAGGTGAAATTTGGCCAAGACCCGGAGGGCAGGATGGATCCTGCCACCTGCAGATCCTGGGGAGAAGCACTTTAGACGAAGAGAGCAGCACGTGCAAAGGCCCTGGGACAGGACAGAGCAAGACACGTGACATGAAAGAGGCCGGTGCACCTGGAGCAGGGGAGGACAGTGAGGAGGGGATGAGGCTGGAGAGGCTCATGAGGGTCGAGGCATGGCAGGGGTGCTCCTCGGGGCCAGACTTGTCACGTCTTTCCCGGGGGGCGGGAAACCTCAGCGGGGCTTTGAGCAGGAGAGTGGACACAGTTCAGGCTACACTTGGAGACGGTCCCTGAATTAAGGAGGAGGTACTGCTGATGACAGGGACTGGGTGGTGGCCCGGGAGCTGGAGAGAGGAGGGCAGAGCATGCAATGTTTTAAAAACAGGAGATCATCACGCTTGGAGCTCTGACTCGAGGTGGGGGGCATGGCAATATACGTAAGCTTAACATTTGTACCCTCATAATATGCTGAAATTTAAAACAAAGGATTAAGTGGGAGAAAAGCAAAAAATAAAAAAATAAAAATAAAAACAGGAGATCAGCGGGACCTGCTGCTGCACTGGATGTGAAAAGTGAACCGAGGGGGAGGAGCCAGGTCGGCCCCTGGTGTCCTGGCTTGGGGACAGGCCAGGCCGTTTGCTGAGAACATGGGTGAAGGACGGGCTCTCGGGCGGAGGGAGCGCTGGTGTACCAAGGGTTCCCTTTGGACTGTCTTGAGTTGGAGGTACTGGGGACACCCGAGCGAGATGCCAGGCAGGCAGCCGGAAACTCGAGCCGCGCTCTGGGAGAAGGGCCGCCGTGGCCCTGTGCAGCCCAAGTGCACTAACTCGGGCCCTCCGTACCCCTCCCTCCCCCGCTTGTTCCTTCTAGACCAGCACGTGTGGCCTGCCCTGCCGTGATCCGGAACGGACTCCCAGTGTCCTTCCTTTCTGTCCTTGACCCTTGACCCCTTGCAGCAAGCTCCCTGCTCTCCCCAGCCTTAGAACCAACCTCCCCCATACCCCCCGGGGGTGGCCCCGGAGCCCCCCGTGACGCTGTGTGTCTCTGCAGGCGGATGCGCCCTGGGTCCCAGCATCGGCTGCCACTGCGGAATGAAGGCCTGCGAGTGTGACAAGCGCTCGGTGCACTGCTTCAAAGAGAGCCTGCCCACCTACGAGAGGAACTTCAAGCAGTTCTTCTCGGGCCGGCCCCGCTGTGGCAGGCGTAAACCCCGCTGCTAGGGAGGCCGCTGAGTCTCCCTTGCCATTCTGCACCTGCTCTAGTGTCACACCTCCAGGAAGCCTTCCCAGATCACCCCCGGCAGACTCCAGTCCTTCCCCACCAGGGAGAATGAAAGCCCCGCCCCCCTGAGAGCAGGTCGCCCTTCAGCATTCTGGCCTCAGGGACTCCTTGTCATTGGGCATCTGAGAACGGGAGAGCAGAAGTGGCAGGAAGGAGCTTGCACCCTAGGGAGGGAGGTGGACTGCAAATACATGTGTGTGCATAAATATATAGATAAGTGGCATTCCGATAGTAGCAAGTGCTATAAAGCAATAGAACAAAGGGACAGGTAGAGAGATACAAACAGCCCCCCATCCCAGGAAGTTTCCAGGAGGGGAGAGGCGCCGGGATCTACCCCAAACTCTCCCTTCACCCCCACCCCAAATCGGGATGCAGGGCAGACTTGGGGACCAGGCCCACACCCAGCCCTAGCTGGGAACAAAGGCCCCAGAAAACAAGGTCTCAGCACCCACGCCAAGGACCCGAGGGGCACACCTGCAGTGTGCTCCTCATTTGCTCCAGTTCTGCCCTCGGGTGGGAACAAATGGATGCCATTTTCACGTCTCAGGAGACAGAGCACTGTGGAACATTAGCGCCCTGCCACTGCTGTATGAATGTCACCGCCAGGAGGATGTCAAAGAAGTGGAGAGAGAGGGCATGGGAGACAGAATCAGAGGCATCCAAAATTTCTACCCCGATTTAGCAGCCTCTGGTTCTGTCAGACTTGAGTTCTGATAAATATTAAAGTGGTCTGATCTGGTGGGTCCTGATGGTTACCTGCACAGCTGCTACGGCAGATCGCACAGATGGCCACCCTCGCTCTCAGCTCCTGTGCCCGCACCCTCCAGGACGAGAGGCTCAGCTTCCCCACCCCTGGAACCTCACCTGGCCTCGAGCCTGACCGCGGCTGATGGAACGCAGTGGAAGCGGTGGGCTGCCGGTTCTGAGGCATCTAAATTTCGGATGCCTCAAGAGGTCTAGGGCGCTTCTGCTCTCTCTGCGGACACCTGCCTCCACCGTGAGAAAAGGGCCCACCTGCTGGAGGATGGGCGCCCACCTGGATCAGAGTCGGCCGCTCGGTGGTCTCAGCTGAGACCCCAGACTCGCGAGCCAGCTCAGTGAGGATCCTCCCACAGCTGACCACGGACACGTGAGGGAGCCTCTCGGAGCCCAAACCCCTGCCCAGCTGAGCCCAGGCTGAACTGCCCACGCGCAGAGCTGCGAGCTAAGTAAAGGCTGCTGTTGTAAGTCCCTAGGTTTGGGTGTGGTTTGTCACGCGGCAATGACTGGCTGGCACAATCGGTCCTTCACGGAGCCTCCCGGGCCCTCAGCACAGTGCTGCCCTTGGAGGTCATAGGGGCATCGTGGACTCGGGCCCTGCCGTCACCCGGTGGGTGTGGGAGGAGAAGGGCAGGCCCGAGCAACCACTGAGAACAAGCGAGAGCTGTCATCGCTCACTCAGCCAGCCAGCACACACTGATTGAGCACCTGCTGTGTGCAGGGCAGTAGGATTCAGAGATTTAAAGGAAACAGACAAAATCAGATCTGCAAATCCTTGGGAGGACGCTGAGAGGCGTAGGAGCTTTTAGGACACTTAAAATCTGGACTGAGAAAGGGACAGATGTGGAGACAGACAGGGATGCCAGAGAGGATGGTCAGCAGAGGGCCTGGGCTCTGCCTGGCTGGGCTCATGCCGTCACGTGGGTGATTGGCCTGCTCTTCCTCCTCCTCCTCCTCTCCTGCCTGCGCATGTGCAGAAACTGCAACTGCAGATGGGAGGCTTGTGGTTTACAAACATCAGGAGGTGCCGCAGCCTGAGGGAAGTGGTCGTAAAAAGGCAGACATGGAGCCAGGGTGGCCGGGCCCAAGGCAGTGGGCACCTCCTGTCCTTGGGGGTCCGGCCACAGCAGAGACCAGCCCCGGACCGTGAGGGCACCCAGCTGACCGACACAGCAGAGGAAGAGCCAGGGCGGGGCTCGGCGTGGGGGACTGGGGTTCCCAGTGAGAGCCAGGCTGTCTTTTCCACTCCCCAGGCCCCGGCTCCTAGTCTCCAAGACACAGAGCATGGGACCTCGATGGTGGGCGTGCCCTATGGCGTTGACACCTATTCTGAGAGGTGGGCGTGCAGAGAGATGCAGGGACTTCCCCCGGGAAAGCAGCTGTCCTCCCAGGCCAGCCATTCGTTCCACCAGCAAACCTGCACTGAGGACACCCCGAGCCAAGCCCCGCGCATCAGTCTCCAGGGGCTCGCAGGCCGGGACGCACAAGCGAACAGGTGATTGCCACAGAGGCCAGCAAATGCTGGAATTGGGGCGGGCTCGGGAGCTGTGCCCACCATCCAAGAGGGTGAGGGCAGGCTCCCCGAGGCGTGCTGGGGCCCGGCTTGAAGACAGCACACGAACACACAAGCTCCTCGTCACCTGCCTTTCCTGTCTCGCAGAGGCCCCCTCTCCATCTTTGGTCGCTCCAGGCCAAAAACCTGGGAGCCAAATTCTTCCTCTCCTATCCCACGTACCACATCCAATCTGTTGGCACTACCTTTGAAACACATCCAGATTCTGTGTTGATAAAATACTTCATTCAAATGTTTACATGAAAAAAAAATGAAACGAGAGGAGAAAAGTCTAGAATGTGGCCATTTCTCACTGCCTTCACTGCCACCGTCCTGGCCCCGGGTCGCTGCCCCGCTCTGATGGTGCCCCCAGCGTCCACCCCGCCTCTGTCTCTTCTGCACCCAGCGGCTGGTCCGTGGTGACCGGGTCAGACCCCGAGGGCTCCCTCTGAGCCAGCACCATGGCAGCGCTCCGCCCTTCCAGTCTGGGTGGGCACCTCACCTTTGGTGAGACTTATCATCTGAGGCAGGCTCACAAGGAGATTAGCTACTTCTCCCCGTGGAGCCAAGCCCCTAAGATAGGGGTCGCCACAGAGGATAAGGAAATTGATAGGCAACAGAAATAAAAGAATACACAGAGACTAAGGTATAGTTTATAGTTTTGTATATATAAAAAGATCAGATACAACACAGCGGGGATTAGATTCATACAGGTTTTTATAATCACGGACATCAATTACCAGTTGTCAGGGTGACATATTTGCATATCAGGGAATGCAGTTGCTAGGGGATACAGGTAGTGGGTTAGGGTCAAAAGTCCTCTCAAGGGCTTCTAATCTATCCAGGTGAACAAACAGGTTCAAAGTCTTTCAGGGGCTAGCTTCTAAGTTCTAAGAGGTAGTTGTCAATTAACAAAGGCAAACAAAAGAGGTATAGTGACTCAATACATCTTTGATTAGTTATGGTGGACTTAAAGGTAGACAGACAGGAGAGAGCAGGAAGCCCGTCTCTAATAGACAGGTTGTTTATAACCACCGGGGCGCTTCTCTGGGCAAACTGCACTCACTGTCTCCAGCTCCCATCCTGTGGGCCATATTTGCCTTGCCTTGTCTTTCAAGACACGGGGAAGCTCACAGATTTTTAGATACTAGGAAGCCTTCCTGGAAAGCATCCCTACCAGAGATTTGAGAGCCCTCTCCCCTGATAGCAGCCTCTAATAAGTGAACCATTGAGTCCACACATTCCTTCTTGGCAAAACCCTGCAAACTCCTGTTTCTGTCTTTAACATAGTAATATAGGGTCATACAATAAAATAATGGTCTTATGAGCCACATCTCATTAATTCCTCAGTCATATTTCCCCAACACGTATGCTGTCACCCTGTTTAACACCCCTCACCCCAGTGTCCCCACCTTTCTGTGCCTCCCTCGGCCCTTTCACCACCGCTCAGTGTGCCACCCACTCACTCACACCCCATGTTTTCTGTCCGCCTGCCCCACTAGAGTACAGTCCCGCGCTCCTCACTGACGTGGACATGGAGTGACTTGGGGTCAAGAAAGCGAGCACGTGGAACGTGGGGGAATGGGCAAGGAACCCAGCGTGGGGAACACGGAAGGAGGGCGATGGTTTTCGGAGCGAGCAGAAGAGACCAAGTGGGCAGGGTCGGGTCAGGGAGAGCCTTGACCCTGGGAGTGGCAGGGGTCGCGGGTGCTCTGAGCCACCCACTGCTCTCCACCCATGTGACCTCAGGCAGCTCGACCTCCCTGAGCCCAGTGTCCTCATGAGCAAAGTGGATGGCCGAGACCCAGGCATGTGACAGCACACGGAGGACGTGCATGGCAGTAGCGGAGTAGCAGGGCCTCCGTCATGCTGGCTCCCGGAGCCGCGTGGCGCTGTAGTTGGAGCCAGTGCCCTGCCTCCGAAGGGACAGCCCTTGAATGTAGATGCATTTTTACGACATCTCTCTTTAAATCCTAATCAGCCACCATTCCTGATGTCTGCTGAAGCTATCAGACGTCGGGGCGGTGGAGTGGGGGCCTGCTAGCTGTCCAGCGTGGGTGCCGGGCCATTGCCAGGGCTGGCTGTGCGTACGTGCACTGAGGCAGACAAATCCGCTGTACCCCGTGCCCACTCCGAGGTGTCTGCAGGCTCCGAAAGGCTGGGCAGGTGCTGGGGAGTGTGGCCCGTGGCTGCAGGCCCTGTGCGGGGACAGCCAGCCGGGTGTGGAGGGCGCAGAGCGGGTGACTGGGTCTCTGGGTCAGAGAGTGCACGGGCTGGTGGCTCATGGCTTAGGCCAGGCATCACTGAGGTCACCAGGAGGCGGATCATGTCCAGATGGGAGAACAAAGGGAGGTGGGGCCATGGGTCGGGGGGGGGGAACCTGAGTCTGGGAGAAGGGGAGCCCAGACACGTCCCCCAAATCTTGGTTGCTGGAATGAACAGCTTCCAGGTAGGTACTGAGCGCTCATCTTGCACCAGGCACTTGGAACACCCGCACAGTCTCCAGGCGGTGCTGTTACGATCTCCAATTTACTCGCTCAAGGCCACACGGCTGGCACAGGCAGAGCAGAGCCAGAACAGGCAGTCGAGCCCCCCTAGGATTGCCCTGAGGGGCTTGTCTGAGATGCCCCCCAGTACCCCAGAGAGGGGAAGGGAACCAGGGGCTTAATGCTGCCCTGGAGGGAGCCGGGGTCTGGGCCAGGCTGGTGCGGGGCAGGACAGGAAGGAAGGTGAGTGTGGGGGGCGTGGAGCTGGCCCGGGCCCCTGGAGGGCCGCAGCAGTGAGGAGGAAGGCACACAGGCCTTCTCTCCCTGGGCCCCGGCCCCTCGCGGAAAGGAACAGCTGCTATTTGTGTACACCGACCCCTCCCGGGGCTCTCTCATCCCTTGTCCTGTTGGCCACCCGAGGGAGCCCGGGAATCATTCCTCCCGTCTCCCTGATGAAAGCGGGTGGCCGGAGGGGACCGGTGACTTGTTGCAGGTCACCAGTTGTAGCACTGGAGCTAGAACTCAAGCTCACACCCCTGGCTCCAAATCTCTGCCTTCCCATCCCCTTTCTCGAAATAAGGGCTGGCTGCTCTCTGAGGTTCAGGCTCTGCAGGTGGCCTTCGGATCCTGCTTCTGAGGCATAGCCTGGAGTGCCAGTCATTTACTCGGCTTGTCGGGGCCTCGGTTTCCTCAGCTTATAAACCAAGCTGTGAAGCGTCCCCCGCTCCTAGGCTGAGACGACACACACAGAGCTCTCAGCACAGTGCTCAGCATACAGCATACAACAAGCGCTCAATAAGTCCTGCTC